AAACTGTTTACAGGCCCACCCACAGTTTCCCCTAGAGGTGCCCAGCCGTTCCACTGCCTCCTTCCCTGCGATCCCCACCCTTACTGGGGTCAGACTGCATCTGGGCAGGGCATTCTCAGCCTGCAATCATCCCTGACATCATCCACCCAAATCTTCTAAAGCCAAATGCTCCAATAGGGAGCTGACTCCCTCAGCTGTGGAGTCTGAGACTGAACCCTGATGTAGTGGGAGGGCAAGAAGCGACTATGTTCTGAGGGCACATAGACAGCATAAAGACATTTTCACATCTGTAATTATATACATACATTCTGCCATCTTAGCAGTAGGACCTGGTGAAGTGGCAGACTTAAACAGCAACCATCCCAAGGTTAATAGACATTACAGTGTCTTTTTTCTTTCTTTATTGGTTCATGGGATGAGGGTGTCACTGGCTAGGGCAGCGTTTACTGCCCATCCCTAATTGCTCAGAAGGCAGTTAAGAGTCAACCACATTGCTGTGGGTCTGGAGTCACATGTAGGCCAGACCAGTTAAGGATGGCAGTTTCCTTCCCTAAAGGACATTAGTGAACCAGATGGGTTTTTCAGACAATTGTCAATGGATTCATGGTCATCATTAGATTCTCAATTCCAGATATTTGTTGAATTCAAATTCCACCATCTACTGTGGTGGAATTTGAACTCGGGCCCCCAGAACATCGTCTGGGTCTCTGGATTAACAGTCCAGCGATAATTCCACTGGGCTATCGCCTCCCTAGGTGAACATTGATCACTTCTGAGAAACATCTTGGATAACAGCAGAGGCTCGGGATGCTTCAATGCTTCCGTTAATGACTGCGCTGAGGAGGTGTCAACGCTGAGGACAAGAATGAGTGGTATAACCCATTTCCTTCAGGAGTCTGTGCTGGATACTGTCACAAAGCAATAACACTTTGGTAATCAACTTCATCCAGCAGAAATGTCAATGCCAATGTCAAAGGGAGTGTTGAACGAACAACAATCCTTTCGTAACACAACTGAGAGTGTGAGCAAAGCTACTTCTCCAGTCAACTAAACATAGAAGACAGCCAATGATATCTGGCCTCATCAACCAATCAAGGGAGATAAGCTGCATATGACTCCCATGGAATCCAGCCCTATGTTCACAGGTTCAGGACATGGTCTACCAATATCACAGACCTCTCCCATCAACCGTGCTCTCACTGATGGATAATAGTAACTTTCAAATCTCAAAACGGGGCAGCACAGTGACTCAGTGGTTAGCACTGCTGACTCACAGCGCCAGGGACCTGGGTTTGATTCCACCCTTGGGTGACTGGGTGGAGTTTGCATGTTCTCCCTGTGTCTGTGTGGGTTTCTGCCGGGTGCTCCGGTTTCCTCTCACAGTCCAAAGATGTGCAGGGTAGGTGGATTGGCTGTGCTAAATTGCCCATAGTGTTCAGGGATGTTTATGTTAGGTGCTTTAGACATGGGAAGTGCAGGGTTACAGACACAGAGTAATGGAATGTGTCTGGGTAGGATGCTCTTCAGCGGGTCGGTGTGGACTTGTTGGGCTGAATGGCCTGCTTCCACACTGCAAGGACTCTAAGGAAATGGAGCCACTGTGTGAAGGATTTTTATGAAACTTTGTCTCTGTAATGTCCACATGATAACAGCTATTGTATGTAGTGTACAGTTCAGGTTGAAATGAACAAGTCAGTTCTGAGCAGTGGGGACTGTATATGTGAGAAAAAACCCTTCATTTACAGTTTTCAGAGAGTAATGGACAAAGTGGTGGAAGCCAACTCTGCAAACACCAATAGAGGTCCCCAAATACTGTAAATAAAAGAAAACATGGACTTTGACTGATTCGGCCATTGTGAAACCATTGCTCTGTGCGTTACAAAAAACCTATTATGAATCAGCTACTTTGACTCATTGTGAACAGGAACTGAGGAGATCTTCAAATATTTGGGTAATTTTGCAATGAAGATTGACTCAGGGGAATTGGATCTGTCAGTCCTGCTCTGCTGATTCTGTGACAGTCTTGTCAAGTGAATGTTACTGTGTGTTGTAACGGTCTGATCTGCATGACTCAGTGGGATGTGGTGGATATGTGTGTATCCCACCTTTCTGAAAGGTCAGCAAGCTCCCTAAAATAGGTAGCTACAAAAATAAATGTGTTTTACAAACAACCCAATCTCTGAAATTTCCTTCTGAAACCTCTTCAATGCGCTATCCTCCTTTAAGATACTCTTACATCTCCTTTCATGGCTTCGAGTCAAATTTTGTTGCAGCACGCTCCAAAGAATTTGTAAACGTAGATTCCTTTTTCATCTTCAGCTATAGTAGCAAATGTCATTTTAGATGCAGTTATGAGAATGAGGGTACAGAGACAAGCCATTGTTAGCACCACACGATGTTCTAAGCCTGTTAGATCAATAGGTGTCCTTTCCACAGGGCCACTTCTAGTATGAAACTGCATTAGGATTGAATGAGAGAGCATCAATGTTGGGAAGACTTCCATCTGTTTGTAACGTCAATCTGTATTAAACAGCACGAACCACACAGAGAGATCAAAGTTACCCTTGTAGACGGGTTTATGCAGAGATTGCAGGCCTCAGCAGCTTCAAAACATTTACAGCCAGTGAAAGATGATGTCACATAACTCAGTTCCATTATTCACATGAAAGTCCTTCCTGCATTGCTTTGGCCGACTGTCATGCACTGGAACTTTTGTTCCAGCTGGCGAACATCCTCATCATCACAAAGCTGTCGACTTGCTCCCCGTTGCCCATCCCATATCCTCGGTGCTTCCTCCAGTTGTTTGGGGCATAGTTTCTGAGTATCAATGAGTGTCCTCTGTCTGGACCTTACGGTCTGAAGCCCCAGACGTGACCTTCCTGGGCACCTTGTGTCGAAGGCCATCTGAGGACCCTGTTGGAAGGAGGCGCTGCATTGCAGAAACAGTATCACATGGTGCTCTGACCTCCTCCTCTGGGCAGAGTATATCGCCACTGCCCCTCTGTCTGCATGGCATTCCATGGAATATGAGTGACCAGGCTCCCCTGCATCTTCCCCAGTATCATGATGCACCTGAAACTTCCGCAGTAATGGGCAGCTCTACTTCTGCTGGAAGTTGAGCCTGGTCCTGGGTTTGTAGATGCATGTGCTCCTCATGCATTCATGTGGCAGCCCTTTGATTGCAGTGGCTACATGGATAACCACAGCTTCTAATCCATTGGGGAAGGTGCCAATGACCCTCTTTGGGCAATATCAGAAACAAAGCAGCTCCTCAGTAAAGTGATCACTCAACAGTCACAGCACATACCAATAATATTTGAACAGCACCTTCTAAATATTGGGACAGGGAGACCCTGACAAGGAAGCCAGTGAGTTGTCTCTGCATTCTGAGGAAGGGTCACCGGACCCGGAACGGTGTCTCTGATTTCTCTTCACAGATGCCGCCAGACCTGCTGAGCGTTTCGAGAAACTTCTGATTTTGTCTTTGCGTGCATGTTGTGTGTCATTGCGCTGATTTGGATGTCTGTTGCTCAAGTCCTTTGGTGGACAGACAGTATCTGACTGTACATGTGACAGTGCTAATGAGAGCCAGTACCCCACAGCTCCAGTTCCTGGAGAGGCAGCACTGCAGATGGGACATGGTGTGGCTGTTTGATGGTGCAGAGTGTGGAGAGAGCCGCTCCTGCACTGTGTGCAGGCTGTGGGAAGATGATTGGTACTTTGGCAATGAGGGTGAATGTTTCCGGGTCACAATGCTTCACAGCCATTAGTATGATTGATTTGTAATGTGGAATGATGTGGGTGAGATGCTTGGAGCCAGGATTTGTATTTCATGCAGCAGGTCAATGTGTAAAGCTCACATGCAGTATTCTGGGATCCTTCGCCTGGATTATGTGAGGGTCTGTTCCATGCTAAAGGACCTCACATTGCCTGAAAGTGGAGCCCCGCTCCCTCACAGAATGAGACACTGACTCCACCCATTCTGGGGATGGTGGCAGCCATTTTTATCCTCAATGTGTGCTTGTGATTCTAACAAGCACCGAGATGTAGCTAGGCTGGTGGTGAGAAGGGTACTATGTGTCAAGTCCTTCATGTACGCCCGGTCTCTCTGTGCCACGGCATGCTGCCCTCTAAGCGGCTGCGTGTCGTGGAGACTCTCACTCATCTCCTGCTGGAATGTGCCTTTCCAAGGTAGGTCTGGAGAAAGATGCAGTGGTTTGTGTTGAGGTTCATCCTGAGCAGCTCCACGATGCGGCACTGTGTGCTATACAGGCTGTTCCCCGGGACGTACACCGAGACCAACCTCGAATGTGCCTGGAGGACCATCAACTCAGTGATAGACACTCCTGGGTCTTCCTGAAACTTGTGGGGCTTCCAGTGCAAGGAGTTGACCACGATCAAATGTTGCAGACTGGCACATTCCAAGGTCCACGACTGCATGCTGAGGGAGGCACTAAAGCTTGGGGCAGCTGGTGCCACGTGCTGTGGGGAAAGATCACTGTCTAAGGTCTTTCAGGCCAAAGTATAACAAAGGTCTGTTCAATTATCAATGTGTATAAATAGTGTCCTGAATGAACAAAAAATGCCTTTGGTCTTTGCAACTGCAGGGAATGTCAAATTCCAATGTTTGTTTCTCACGAAATGCAAAGAATGTAGAACTGCTTTAGTACCTGTGAATGTAGATGAAGATTTTTACGAATAAAGTATATTTTTGCAATAAAAAAGAACTTGTGATTGGAACATGATGGAAGTAGCACTGGATGGAATGAGTCACAGACTCAGTCTCTCAGCCAAAGTGACAGCCCCAAACCCTCATACTCTCTTCGCCCTTATCCCCTTGTCAAACCCATCCACTTTGATCTTCCCATGTTCCCACTCAACCCATTTATTTCACTGTTCATTGCCACACATCATGCTTGATTCCCAGGCATATTGCATTGTCATGCCAGACATAATGATGCACTCTCCCCCTATCGAAGACGAAGTGGTACTGACTGCCTTTCTGTCCCATATTCTATTGTCTCCCCCAATGTGTTGAGTTGCCCTTCCTTCACAATTATTATCCTTCAGTGTCTCTGTATGCTGCCTCCAATCTCCATAACTGAGTTCCCCAGCTTCCCCACCAGAGAAGTGGCCCCTGATTACAACCCCCGCATCCCCCACCTTAACATTCAACGGACAGAGCACCGGGACCAACAGTGGCCCAGCTCCCTGACTGACCGTGAAGGTCAGCCCTGACTGATGAATGAACAGAGCCCTGACTGAACTCTGTGCCATTCCTAACTGACTTGCCATGAGTCCCAGGAATGGCTGGA